TTACAAATAATCTTCAGTTGCACTTGAAAATTATGAAAAAGCTGTTATAAATAATCATCCGGATCATGCTACAATTCCTAATAGTATGGCAACTATATTTGTTGGAATGGGTGATCTTAAAAGAAGCTGTTGAACATGCGCAACGTGCTGTTGATATTGCAACTCCCATGCTTGCACCTGATCATCCGAACTTACAAACTTTTAAAAATTATCTTCAACGAATTCAAATTAGAATTCAATCAATGGAAAACACTTAAATCTTTATTTTATTTTATTGTAAATAAAATATGCTAGAGATTTTATTCGAGTGAATATTTTAAATAAAAATAAAATAAAATTCAAATTTATTAGTTTTTATTTATCTTTATTCAGGATATTCTCTTTTATAATATTAAATATCTCTAGAAGATTTTTTTTTTCAATAGAAAATTTCATTTATATTCATCAGTTAATAATATATAGAAGATTGATTAGAGTGACAAGTTCATCTCTATTCAAAAACAATTAACTTATTTCATTATGTATTTATTTGTATTTAACCATGTCAATATAAAACATTGAAAAAAAAAATTCTTATCGTAAAATTATTTTTTTTACTATTGTTTTTCTTTGAATGCAATCAGCTCGAAATACGCATCGTAATTCTGGTTCATTTTTTACTTCACCAAAATATAAAGTAAATGTCGTGCATGTTCTTCAGCTGAATAAATAACTTTAGAAATAAATTCTGTTTTAGTTAAATTAATACCAGGCATTAAAATTTTTGAACAACATTTATCTGATGAAATATTTTTAAATGATTGTGAATTTAATGCATTCATTGTTAATATATAACCACAATAATCATAAATTCCAGCTGCAAGATGTTCAGCAAATATTCTTAATCGACAAATATCTTGAATAGAAATATTTTTAACACATTGAGCATTTATTTCACTACTATTAAGTGGTTGAACAAGTTCATCAAATTTTGATAATATATTTGTATATTTAATTGGAGGAAATGTTTCTTTATAAGAATTTAATGCATCAAGAAATGAAGAATTTATTCGTTGTTGAATAGCAGCAATAGGACATGGAACAACACTGCACGCTGCATCAGCCATTATTGTTTCACAATTTGTTGGTCCAAATGCAATTAAATGATTTACCATTGATCGAATATCTGGCCAAAATCGAAGGGAAAAACGAGGAAGTGTACCACCAAGAGAATGACCTATTATATTAATTCTCGTTTTCCGACGAATATCTTTTTTAAAAACAAAAGATTATTTATATCAAATAAAAATAAAAATATCTTTAGTTTTTTTCTTTCATTGCTATTTTGTATATTTTTCGAATTGCATAAACGATATATTCTGCAACAGCAATTTGTAAACCACCTAAAACTTTTTCTGGTAATTGTAATGTACAGTATGACCAGGTTTTTTATTCATTATTTGCATTCAATTCCAACTGTATAATTCTTTAACTTCTTCTGTTCAACCTGGAAGAAATAAAATCCATCTTTTTCGATGATTTTCACCTTTATAACATTTTAAATATTTAAATATATTTGAACATGGAACTGTATAAGATGGACCTGGTTGATTTATAGATGAATAAATTATAGAAGAATCACAGTTTACAGCAGAAACATATTTACATGAAATTAATATACAAATCAATGACAAAAATAAAACAAAATTAATATGAAAACTTTTACATTTAGACAAAAAAATAACGTTTTATCAATGAATAAAAACAGAACAAAATAATACCATCATTTAGTATAATGTACGTCATGTTTGTAATTAATAAACATATTTAGATTTTTGTAGATTTAGATATACCCATTTACCTTCCCGAGACGGTCGCATCTCAATCATACTAGCTGTTAGACCCTATTCATAGGAACTTTTCAAAAAGCTGTTAGTGCAATTCCTCTATGATTAGAATATTCAAGACGATGTAGTTCCTGTTGATAATAAGAGAGACATTGTTCTATTCTATCGATGTTAGGAATAGATTTTTTCGCCATCCCTTTTCACTTAATCTTCGAGAAATGCAAAAAGGAAATAATTGATATAGTTATTATAACGAGACGCTATTGATATACGATCTTTGATGCGGGAATGAACAGTAGGCAGGATATATTGGTAAAGCATCTGCCATGGTCACGTCTGTGCGGATAGTGACCATCGGGTTAGTTTTGAGTCTGAAAATTTTCGATTCTAAAGACTCTAGTAGGGAGAGCTGAAATATTTCCCTCTATACTTCAACACTAGTTTTAGATGATGTTTCACTAAAGAAATCTAGATGAAATGCTGAAAAGTTAAGAGAACAGATCTAGTCATTGAGAGACTCATTCGTTTATTAGATATCGTTTGTTTTATTAGCTTTTGCAAGACCTATTATAGCATCGAAAGATGAGAAAAAAAAATTCTTCAGTGATTGTTAGTTGCAGCCGTCAGGCAACTGTTTGTTCGTCCGCCTCTTTCTTTTTAGGTGTTGTAGATGTCTCTGGTTTTTTTAACAAAATATATTCTTATAAAATGAGTATGACAAATAATAACTCTAATCAAAACGATATTTAAAAACAAAGAGATCAATTTTCTTGTTTTTTAGAATTGTTTTTCAATAGTGTTCTATATTATTATCCAAATGAAGTAGTTCGATGTCTAAGACTCATTGATCAGCACATTTCAATTCTTTATTATATTGATCAAGATCTCGAATTTGTTTCAGAACGTTTTTTACTTTTAACTATTGCACCTGGATGTTCGCGTTTTGCGTTGACTATGATTATATTCAAGTACAGAACCATTTTGACGTCGTATTCAATTATGAAATTGACCTTTTTTATCAATAAGATATTCAACAAATGTTCGACAATTATTTAATAAAATATTATTACTTCGATGATAATATAGATAATTATCTAGAGATTGAATAAGATTTTCTAATGGTTTGTCAGATTTAATTTCACAAATAAATTTAATTCTTTCAATATGTTTAGATATTTTATTTAATTCAACAATATTTTATTATATACATTTTTTCAATACCATTTTTACTATCACCAACATCAATTTCAATTATGACTAAACGACATTGACCAGTTGATGCTAATAAAAATCTATGACAAACACGACCATCAGCTCATAAACAAGGTTCAATTGCATATCCTATACGAAGGAATATGATCTTGTATTGCACGACAATCAACAAATAAATCATCCATAAAAGTAGTTAAATCTCTCAATAAGTAGGATAATCATCTGTTGATATATAATCTTAAAATATCTAACTAAAAAATATTCTACTCTTATCGAAGATCTTCGATATTGTCATCGTTTCTACTTCAAGTATTTTTATAGTTGATTAATGTCGTGCCATCAAATGCATAATCTTCATTTGTCGAAAGATTAGAAAGATAATCGGTAATTGAATATTCGAATAGGTGATATTAACGATAATAATGAATAACTCTCGTTTGAATACAGAGTCTAGTATGAGCTTTATTTTCGAAGCAAACAATTCTCTTTATTAATCTAAAAGAGAAGTGATCATCTTTGTTTAAAATTCTCGTCTGATCATGCCGACTGAACGAGTAGTCAAATATAATAGAATCATAGAGAATTGTCTCAACAACTTCGAATATTTATAGAGAATATATCCTCGATCCCTCCTTTACTATATAATAGTGCTACTACTTTTAGTATGTTATTCTAACAAGGGAACTATCCGAAGTGATATCCCCTATAGAGTCTATACTGATCTTTATAATGGATACCTTAGCGATGGTAGGAAACGGTCGAAAAGGGTTCATTCTCATGATCGTTTAGAGGCAGATAATGATCATTTTAGTAACTGTTTCGACTCATCTATTAGGTACATAGTGGATACTCAAAAAGCAGACGAAATTTATCTCAAAAAACGTTCGATTTTAATTTAATGTTGACACACGCTATACACGATGCCCGCTGGATCTCTCGCACATATCGCAATGCTGTGGGTGCCACGAAAGGAGTTACACTATGAAAATCTTGATGTCTAACTGAACATTTCTGCACGAGATTGAACATTAGTAGATGCTTGGAATTGATCGAGGACTTGTTGCTCTCTCTCTTCACCAAATTGATCTCGAAAAACGTTCGATTTTAATTATATGTTCGCACATTTTTAAAAAACTTCCTACTATCTTGATGAAGACTTTTATCAAGTAAAAATTCTAATTTATTATCATATTGACAAACAGATAAAACGAAATTCTTATATTTACAATGATTTTAATATATTAAATATAAAAATTTTTTCATCTCTTACTCGAATTGTTCCTGACCAATTGTAATACACAACATGCCATCTTTAATTAAATATTTTAATCATTAGGAAAAAAACGCTCAATCAATCAATATTTACAATTTATATATTAACCCTTCTAGATAATCAACTTTTAAATTTCTTCAATCCCAACATAATACTTGAAAATTGTTTTTTTTTTATTTATTTTCATTTATAAAAAAAGAAAAAACAATTAAAGTATACTTATAATCTGTTCGTACAACTGTTCCCTTATAGAGCATATTGTCGGATTAAGTTAAAATCATACCATTCATCGTTAACAAAAAACAAATATCAATATAAACATTCGTTTTTTTTTTGATAATTTACACTTGTAAGAGTATGATCAATAATAGTTCCCGATTGTGGATTTTCTATATAAGGACCTTCTTGTTGAAAAAATCGAGCATTATCACGTTTTTTTTTTACAATTAACGACAGTTAGTTTTGGTTCATAATCAGACTTTACCTAAGGAAGAACTAATTAAATCTATAGATAGATAGAGAGAGAGAGTGAGTGATTTTTTTATTGATTTAAATCATATTTAAAAACGTTACTCGTGTTTCTGATAAACAATTATTATATAGATAATATTATTTTAATGCATCGAAATAATAATAAAATAATAATGAAACGTTTATTTATTGAAATCTTTCATCGTTAATACACTTTCATATAAACAGATAAACCATCCAGAACGTTCTTCAGCTCTACCTTGATAAATAAGACCTAAATTGAATTTTGTTTATATTGGATTTGTTGATGCGACAAATGCATCTACAGATGTACCACGACGTTTGTTTATCTAAAAAAGGACAAAAAAACCTTTCAATATAATATTGCTAATATTCTATTATGAAACATAACGAAAATTGTTTTTATTCAACAAATCTATTTGTCAAAAAAAAACAACGAAAGATATTATATCAAATAATAGTAGAAATATGAAAAGGAACGTTTTTTTTTTGTATTTTGACTGAGAAAAATTTTTCTAACTGTTAGTCTAACTTGTACATAACAAATGAATCAAGTTAAGAATAATCAAATAAAGAATTTCGATTTTGACTTTAAAATAACGAATCTTTCAAACTTATAGATGTTACCATTTAAGAGTTTATATTGTGTATCCTCATCGTCGAAATGACCATCACTGAAATGTAGTTTATTGAAATGAAAATCTCCGAACGCCTTTCGATCATCGATATACATTAATTTCGTTTTGGCGATTATTTCTTACGTTCACTCTTTCTGAATATTCATCATATACACATATTAGCACGTCACCATAATTGCTAAGTACAATTAGTATCAATTCGCATAATATTAGAACGTTCGTAATACTGCGGATATTGTCTCAGAATATCTCTGATAGTTTCGATCATCGAAAACAGACATCGCCGAAATGCGAGACATCGAATTTCGGCGAAGAGTATACTGACCTAAGTTTTGACGTGTTCTAAGTATTATTGCAAAATGTATAATGTAATTTTTAAATATATAAGGTAATAAAATATTGATTTCTATTCATTATTAAAGATAATTGTAATAAATTCAAATACGTAAAAATTTTCGAAATTTTATCTAATTCATCAAACTACATAATAAATGAAGTTATAAGATTTTAATATATTTAGATATTTAATCATGAGATCTAGTTTTTGTTTTAAATTAAATACAATTTAACTTCATCTATCAACATTGACAAGAATAAAAAAATAACAATAAATTTCGCAAAACGAAAATGTTTAACATAATTTATCTTTGGATTGAAAATGACATATTTTCAAATAAGGTGTCTCTTCATTCAATTTGAAAAAAAATCACAGTAAAAAAATCAAAAAAAAAACAAACAAACTTAAACGATAAAGCAACGAACAGGATTAACTAAAAAAAAGAATGTGCTGATATAATATAATCAATCACTAATTTATCAACGAGGTTGAGTACGCCATTGACCAATAAAATTATTAATTGAACGAGCAATTTCTCGTCCTTAAATAAAAGAAAATTTTCTTATTGAAATAAAATAAAACAAACGAAAAAAGAGAAGAAAACAATACCAATTGGTCTAGGATTGAATGCACTCAAACTGTCTGGTAATAAATTTGTACTAGAAGTTGTTGTTGGCGGTCGATTTGGTATCACAGTTCGATAACATAATTGAAAAAGATGAGAAACACCAAGTAATTTTTCTTTACGAGTTGTTAATGGTATTGAATCGATATCTTTATTTGTTTCGGAAATATTTAAATCAATATTTTGATTAAATGAAACTTCATCAGAATCACGATGAAAATTTATTGTTGAACTACCATTCGTATTAACTGAAGATGATGAATTAGAATTCAAATTTTCAAAATCATTTAATCCACTAAAAATGATTAATCATAATTTAAAATAAAAAATAGAAAGATATTATTGAAAAATTTACCTTATAGAATAAATATTTTCGGTTCGATTAGATACATTGGTTAATTGTGAATTTGAAGGACTATCAAAAAGAAAAATATTAAATTATATCATTAAAAAATTCATGACTAGCAAATACAGTTTTACTAGAAAACTAGCAACTTTTTAGATTTAAGTTTTTCTTTTTATGATTTATTTTCATATGAATTCAATGATGAATGAATAAATAGATTTTCTAGAAATTCTATTGTGAATAGATTATTAGAATGTATCAATACGTGTTTATAAATGCTCGTTTCTAAGAACCTATGCAAGACTGTATCATTTTTACAAATCGATTTTACTATTATTCAATTAAGTATTGAATATATTCGAATAAACTCGAAGACCCGAAATGATCTTGATTATCTATTTTTTTCCGATCATCATTATTAGCCTTGAGTATTCGATGTTGACAGATAATCTCCTTATTGTATTACTTAAGGACAACTGTTACAGCTCCCTTCATGCATTATAAAGGATAAAAACAAACTAAACAATTCCCACTTGACATACAATCGAAGAAGAAATATCTTCTCTATTATATAAGAAAATATCTCATAAACATACTTATTCGATTGTTTATAAACAAATTCATTTGAAATTAAATAAGGAAGCATCATAAAAGCAAAATAGAGTATCTATAAAAAGAATCAAATTTATTCATTTTATTTATTCTAATCTATAATTTACTTCTTCACCACGAAGTAATCTTTCTGGTAAACAATGTCTATTTGAATAAAAAAAAAAACAAAAATTCATCATTGATTTAATCAAATAAATAGAAATTTTTACCCAAATAAATACCAATCATAGGCTAATGTTAAATAAAGAATTTCTGTACCAGTTAATGATTGATGAATCCATCCATCAGCCCATAATGATAAACGTAAAAGACATATAAATAATGGGGTACGATCCCAACCTGATATACAATGTATAAGAAGTCCATGTTCATCTAGAAAAAAGAAAATTAATATAATATTTTATATTTTTTATGTAAATCAAAAGAAAATACCTGTTTCAAGATGACGAAGAATTAATTGAAAATAATTTTTTGTAAGATCTATTGAATTCCATGACTATTTTAATAAATTAAAAATTAACAATAAAATTAAAATAAATTACCTTCCAAAATGACCAATCTGTTGGTACACGAGATGAAAGATGTTCTGGTACTTGAAATAATGCATCATTAATTGGTAATGACCAATCATAAAACATTAAATCACCATTATAACTTTGTATTGAAAACTCTCGAAAATGTTCACATCCTAACATAAGAAATAAATAAATGATTTCATTTAGAATTTTTTCTTTTCTTTTCTTTACCTGGATAAGGAAGAATTAATAATTGAAAATCTCGATAACGATTTTCTTTATCTGAATTTTCTGATGATGTTACACTGATGAAAAAAAAAATTTTCAAAATTCTTTTTTTTTTTTGTTCTTTTCAAAAATTATCTAATCCTTACTTAACACCAAACATTGTTTTTCTTTTTTCAACCATTAAATTAACTATTGAACTAACATCAAGTATTTTTAATAAATCAATATCAGCTCCACGAAGTTTATCAAATATATTTTGTTGTTGAGGTACTTCTACATTTGATGATGACGCTGATGACGCTGCAGCAGCAGCAGCACCAACTATTGCAATTGTTGGTGGTCCATCAAGATCATTTGTTACAGCAGTTGGATTTGTTGTAGAATCAATTATTGATGGATTGGTTGTTCGATTACCTGTATCTAATAAACGATCAACACCAGACCGAGAATATACTTCACCCCAAGAAGCAACTGTTGACGATCGACAAATATACTTAAAAAAAAAATCAAAAAATTTATTTAGAATAAAAACTAAAAAACAAAAATTCTTTGTTAGAAAAAAAGAAACTTACTTTTCCATCAAGTAATATAACAGGAGCAACAAAACGCGAACGACATCGAGCTATACGAGATCGAACAAATAAATCACGAATATCGATTGTTGATTGAATTTTAGGTGTTGATATATTTGACCATTTATCTATTGTAGGTAAAAGAATACGTCGTGGATAATACAAAGATAATTCACCATTAGTATTAGAAATTAACTATATAACAAAATAAAGTTATACAACAAAAAAATAAACAATCAAATTAAAAGAAAATTTTAAAATAAACCTGATAATCATAATCTTGTCCGAATAGACTAGTTACATTTAATTCAATAGTTGCATTCTTCAAAAACAAAGAAGTAAAAGTTATTTCCAAAAAGAATTTAAAAAAAAATTAAAACAAACCGTTGTATGAAGTTCTCGAGCATTATATTGATTTTGTGTACCAATACGAAGAAGTCCAATAATATCGTCGCTGTTTATCGTTGTAGATCGTGCTGATTCTGTAGTTCGTTCCATTTATGTAGAAGCACAAGTAGAATTGTGAAACCATAAACTATCAACAAGTAACCATCAGGTGATTATATATCTATATATACCTACATGACAAAAAATTAGATCGGATTCGATTCTTACAGAAGCCGTACAGAATAAATATCCTTGACATTTCAGATGGCGCTCGTTACTTGTCATTAGTTTTTTTTTTTTTTTATAAATATTAATGAATTTTCAGTAATGACTAGACAGAAACAGCAATGTCATGTATTTTTAAGTTTATTCTAATGGTGTTAACAGGATTTTGGCAGTGAAGGAATGTAACATAATAGGACTCTTCTGTAGGAAGCTTGTACCAGAATTTAGCTGACCTGATTTTGATCGGTGAGGGGACTCAGCTTACCCTAACTTGCTTGCCTTACTTACGCCACTAGATTTAGTAGTATAATCAAGAGTAGACTAGATCGGCGCTGTTCCACTATCAGAAGAAAGAAAACCCTAATAATTAGCATCATTGACACTGTATTGCGAGGGTTTCTCCCAAGATCATAAGGCATTACTCTACTACCCATGGGCTCTTGATTATACCACAAACTAGATTGTTTATTTTGATAATTGTTTTTAACGAAAAAAAAAAGAAGTTGAATGTATTTCTAGACAAATCAAGCTTTTCAAAAGATTCAATTGGCTAAGTTAGTTTCTTTTTTTTGCAGTACAAAAAAAAA